CGCTTGCATTACAGTTTTTTTAATTTTTTGTTTTTTAATTACAGGTACCGCGTCACACGCATTAACATTTTTGCTTTTTTGAGGTTCCAAATGAATCCAATCCATTACATTTTCCTCTTCCTCCGGAATATCAAAATTTAATTTCGCTGGGCGGTACGTTTTAACAGATTGTTTATTTGAAGCATGTACTAATTTTATTTCTAGGTCATTATTTTTTATTGTTATTTCACTTTTTTCTATGACATCTATGTCACCTATGTTACTTCTTTGTACATCGACTATCTCTACCGCGGGTATCTCTAAAGCGTTATTAGTGTTTTGCATGTTTTGACTCATACCTATATTTGTTGTTTCCCATTGATCCTGTAAGCAGGTATTGAATTTGTTTGGAACAGCATCTCGTTTTAATTTCTTGTTATCTGTTCCCTTGAAGGAACTTGGATTGAAATGATCTGCACATAGACCGGCGCGACGTAAGGAATTGGCAGTCCATTTTTCTAATGCAGTATTTCCTGAAAAATTATAAGACGAGATTTTTAAGTTTTGTTATATAATAGTAATAAAATAATAGTATTTAATTGTTTTTTCTTCTTTTTTTACAGACAGAGCTGGGCAAAATACATCATTAAAGTATTCAAAATACAAAATACAAAATGTATTTCATAAACACTATTTTAAATACAAGTATTTGGAATATGCCTAGCTTTGTTTACAAATAATATTGTTTCATCGATCTAACGCAGTTCCATCAGATATATCATACAAATTTTAAAGAAGTTAAAAAAAGTAAAAATTTTTGAAATAAGTAAAAATGCGAGAAACGCATCAAGTAAAAAGTATTTTTAATATTGTGTAAAAATCCAAAAATTACATTATATAATATTTACCAAAATATGATGTCAGCATTACAATACAATATATGATTTAAACAAAAAGATTTTTATAATTTCTATTTTTTAAAATGTTGCGTTGGCGACAAATACATTGTAATACCAAATTGTACTAATAGTCCTGAAAAATTTACAATTTTTTTGCATCTGGGCGGCAAAAATGAAAATAAAAGTTTTTGCAAAAAATCGTTTAGAATGGCATATTATACATTACATAAAAGGGCTACCGGCGTGCTTGCATAACTTTTTGCCTTCAACAAACTGGCAAATAATGCGGATTTTCAAAAATATCTCTGAAACTATTGAGTTTATCGAAATAAAGGTCATCATTAAAAAGAAAGAAAAATTACAAACAATTTAGTTCTTTATTCAAAAGCATACGATCGATATTTTTTAGAGATAGAATATTTTTAAGGAAGTTGTATTTTTGGTTATTTCAAGAACAAATAGATTTTTCGCACTTTTTTCGTAAATATCTCGGATTCGGCTACTTCTACGTAGAAAGTACAATTTTCAAATAAAGAGATTTTTAAGTTTCCTGCAAAATTGTTTTGTTATTAAACCTCGTTCGATAAATATATATAGTTGCCGAGATATAAAAAGATTTTCTCACATTGTAATAAATTTTAATAAATTACCTGTTGGGGACTTATCGTATGTGAAAAATGTACAGAGAAACAATCTTAAAGCTTATGAAATTAACTTGAAAACTTTTTTTAATCCCGTACGATCAATAGTTCCCGAGATACAATGTTTTAAAGTTATTATGGGACTCTCAATTTACATTAAAATCTGAGTTTATTTATCAATACATGTAATTGAATTGGAAAAATTAATCTATTTTGTTTCTCAAAGCTTATACGTATTTATATATACTATTCTAGTTGTCTTGTTCTTGAAATGACCAATAATACAACTTCCTTAAAAAAATTCTATCTCGGGAAGTATCGATTGTAAGATCTTGAACAAAAAATTAAATTTATCGTAATTTTGCCAACTTTCTTTTTAATAATGATCTCAATTTAAATAAACTCAGTACTTTCAGAGACAGTTTTGAAAATCCGCATTTTTGTATATTTTTTGAAGGCTAAAAATTACGCAAGCATGTGGGCAGCCAGAACTTTTAGTATGTTATATAATAAGCCATTCCAAATGACTTTCTACAAAAAAACCTGTATTAACAATTTTGCCCAAAAATTTATTTTTCCTGGACTATATATATATATATATACATATATATACAGGGTGTCCCATAATAACCGCACCACATCTTGCGGGCAGGTAGAGCAGATGAAACTGAACAGAAAAGTCCTGTATCATTTTGCAAAATTCGCAATTGTTAAAGAAATATTAATTTTTGAAGATCGGCGAATAAACGCATATCCGTCCGCCATATCGCTGAATGTAGGCGCGCGGCGAGATACAACTGTCCCACCACTCGTCAACTATCGGCTAGCAACTACCAGCGGTGGG